ACTATATGTGTTAAAGTTTATTGTTAATAATTTTAATATTTAAACTGCGAGGAACATACATATATAAATACATTTCAGTATTTTTTTTGAAATTATATGCCTACTGATGAGTCCCAATTGCATATGAACTTACAATAATTTATTTTAGAAAGGGACGAAACTCACAAGGCTTAAAAGACATTTATCACAATAATATAAACCACCTTTTTGACACTTATACATAAAAATTGATATTTCAAAAAAAATTTAACAGAAAGATCTAAATCTACTTTTCTATGATAATGTCACGATAAATATCCTTGTTAGTCTAGGCACAATTTTGAATCTGAAGTAGCAAATCTATATGTGTTTAAAGGTTCTGGTAAAGGTCTAAAGTATATCAGTCCTTTCAACATAATGTAGTTTACGATCAGAAATTATTGCTTGCATTTAATATTGCCATCTTAATTGAATGAAAAATATGCAAGATAGTCTATAGCAGTTTAGAAATACTTTCATACAGATATATAAGATATAAGAATAGTTCTCATCAATTGGATGCTTGCTCAATCACATTATTTGCATTTAAAAATTTCACATTCAAAATTTCAGAATTTATATAATATATATCTAAGACTGTGAATATTATCTCCCTTGTATGCCTGACTATATGTGTTAAAGTTTATTGTTAATGTCAAAAGTACAGATGTACATGTATAATATGTATCTAGGACAGTAGATATTATCTCCCTTCTATGTTTACCTATTTACAATTTCTTGTTCAGGTTATCAGTCTTCTCTACATATAAAATATGTATCTAGGACTGTAGATATTATCTCCCTTCTGTGTTTACCTATTTACAGTTTCTTGTTAAGGTTATCAGTCTTCTCTACATATAAAATATGTATCTAGGACAGTAGATATTATCTCCCTTCTATGTTTACCTATTTACAATTTCTTGTTCAGGTTATCAGTCTTCTCTACATATAAAATATGTATCTAGGACTGTAGATATTATCTCCCTTCTGTGTTTACCTATTTACAGTTTCTTGTTAAGGTTATCAGTCTTCTCTACATATAAAATATGTATCTAGGACAGTAGATATTATCTCCCTTCTATGTTTACCTATTTACAATTTCTTGTTCAGGTTATCAGTCTTCTCTACATATAAAATATGTATCTAGGACTGTAGATATTATCTCCCTTCTGTGTTTACCTATTTACAGTTTCTTGTTAAGGTTATCAGTCTTCTCTACATATAAAATATGTATCTAGGACTGTAGATATTATCTTCCTTCTATGATTACCTATTTACAGTTTCTTGTTATGGTTATCAGTCTTCTCTACATATAAAATATGTATCTAGGACTGTAGATATTATCTTCCTTCTATGATTACCTATTTACAGTTTCTTGTTAAGGTTATCAGTCTTCTCTACATATAAAATATGTATCTAGGACAGTAGATATTATCTCCCTTCTATGTTTACCTATTTACAATTTCTTGTTCAGGTTATCAGTCTTCTCTACATATAAAATATGTATCTAGGACTGTAGATATTATCTCCCTTCTGTGTTTACCTATTTACAGTTTCTTGTTAAGGTTATCAGTCTTCTCTACATATAAAATATGTATCTAGGACTGTAGATATTATCTTCCTTCTATGATTACCTATTTACAGTTTCTTGTTATGGTTATCAGTCTTTTCTACATATAAAATATGTATCTAGGACTGTAGATATTATCTCCCTTTTATATTTACCTATTTACCGTTTCTTGTTAAGGTTATCAGTCTTCTCTACATATAAAATATGTATCTAGGACTGTAAATATTATCTTCCTTCTATGTTTACCTATTTTCAGTTTCTTGTTAAGGTTATCAGTCTTCTCTACATACGAAATATGTATCTAGGACTGTAGATATCATTTCCCTTCTATATTTACCTATTTGCAGATTCTTGTTCAGGTTATCAGTCTTCTCTACATATAAAATATGTATCTAGGACTGTAGATATTATCTCCCTTCTGTGTTTACCTATTTGCAGATTCTTGTTAAGGTTATCAGTCTTCTCTACCTATAAACTATGTATCTAGGACTATAAATATTATCTCCCTTTTATGTTTACTTATTTACAGATTCTTGTTAAGGTTATCAGTCTTCTCTACATATAAAATATGTATCTAGGACTGTAAATATTATCTCCCTTCTGTGTTTACCTATTTACAATTTCTTGTTCAGGTTATCAGTCTTCTCTACAAATGAAATATGTATCTAGGACTGTAGATATTATCTCCCTTTTATGTTTACATATTTACAATTTCTTATGAAGGTTATCAGTCTTCTCTACATATAAAATATGTATCTAGGACTGTAAATATTATCTCCCTTCTGTGTTTACCTATTTACAGTTTCTTGTTAAGGTTATCAGTCTTCTCTACATATAAAATATGTATCTAGGACTGTAGATATTATCTCCCTTCTGTGTTTACCTATTTACAGTTTCTTGTTAAGGTTATCAGTCTTCTCTACATATAAAATATGTATCTAGGACTGTAGATATTATCTTCCTTCTATGATTACCTATTTACAGTTTCTTGTTATGGTTATCAGTCTTCTCTACATATAAAATATGTATCTAGGACTGTAGATATTATCTCCCTTTTATATTTACCTATTTACCGTTTCTTGTTAAGGTTATCAGTCTTCTCTACATATAAAATATGTATCTAGGACTGTAAATATTATCTTCCTTCTATGTTTACCTATTTTCAGTTTCTTGTTAAGGTTATCAGTCTTCTCTACATACGAAATATGTATCTAGGACTGTAGATATCATCTCCCTTCTATGTCATTTTCCATTCTCAATTTTATTACCTATTTACAGTTTCTTGTTCAGGTTATCAGTCTTTACTACATGTAAAATATGTATCTAACTACATATTTATGTAACAGTTGATTAATAGCAGTCATTATCATATACACAATATCTATATAAGACTGCATGACTGTATATAAAATCCCACTTCTTTTTTCCCCTAATTGCATATATAAGTGAATCTTTGGAAAGTTGATTTATTTTAGGCAGTTTCAAAATATACGTACTGTGTATAAAGGAGTATTATGACCCCTCTAGATTTGTATGAAGTATTTTTAGGTATCAAATAAATAAGAAGTCATTATATCATGTCACTTGATATGTTTAATTTCTCTTTCAATATAGATATATTTATTTCAGGCTGACAAAGTTGCTGGAGAAATATCAGAATTAGAGTCATATATACACCTACTGAAATGTGGAAAAATTCATGCTGTAGATGAATCTTTGACACTTTTTGTTGTCCCAGACATTGACTACAGTAAATTTGTTCTTAAGGTATTGTACAATGTGCAGCACATGTTTCACAACTTTTTAAAAGAAACTTGCATGTGACATACAACATATGCATATAATAGAAAACACAACAAAACCATGAGAAAAATGACAACCATTCAGATGATACTAAATGGAGAATTTAAACTCATTATAATAAATCATGACAAAAACAAAAATTTACAAACGTGCACCAAAAGGTACAGATTAAATGATTTGTGAAGAAGTAAATATCAACTATTAAAATTTGTATAAACTTTAAGTATATATCCAAGTTTAAGCGTTGTTAAAACAAAGTTTATTAAATTATCAGCAATATTTATACAAGACAGAAGGATAGAAAAAAATATCTGATTACATTACAGATAAAAAAAATAATTAGAAGTTAACAAACATGTGACTTTTCCCAAGATCCACAGGTTGAATTAAAGTTGATAACCAGTATTCCTTGTCCAACATGAATAAACATTTGATACTTTTTTTAAATAGGAAGAAGAATTTTTCATTGTTAAACGAGAACCAAAATCATTTTCAAATGAAGTTAGATGGGTTTACAGCTGCTGTTGTGATCCAAATAGACATAAACTACTTGAGAGTCTTTCAGACCATGTTGTTACTGATTTTGAAGGTACAGTTGCTTATTAGTAATATTTTGAGTTAATATATAACCTCAATACAAACTTATTAGACTCCTTGTTATAAAGGTATCCAAATGATGCTCTCTGTTGAAATCTATCTGTTAGTGGAAATCTATCTGTTAATACGAAACTCAAAACCTCAATGAATAGCAACTCTCTGTTTAGATCTTTTCTATTAAATACATATATATCATGAGATTTAACATATATCTATATATCTCTACGTATTAACTAGTATTTTATGCCCCGCAAGTAAAAGTTAAGTTGAGGGCATATTGTTTTACCCCTGTTGTAGACCGTCTGTCCTATTATGCGTATATAGTTATTCTGCATTTCTCCACCTACAGTGTGAATGCTAATGTTTTCACATTGCTGTCTGTTTGTACACATATTGAAGATGTACATGTGGATGTGCATGTGGTTAGGGTATTGATATTTGCTTTTATGGGAGATAGTTGAACTTAGTAATTTTTGCAGTATAAACTTGCATATGAGATGCATAGCATTTTCTGAAAACTTCTCTTACAATTTGAATGCTATGATGTGTTCCATTTACTGACTGTTTTTACATATACTTATTGTGTGCCTGTGGTTAAGGTTTTGATTTTTATTAATAATTGCTCTTTTGGGAGAAAGTTGAACTTAGTAATTTTTAGAGTATTTATCTGTATAAGAGGAAGTCCTACAGTGAACAATAAAACTATGTGCTCCCATGTTTAACTTTGTGTATTTTGAAATAAAAGTTTGCATCTGCAGGGGCATACTTCATAGGGGAGTGGGCGGGGGCATCACTTTGTCTAGTATTGTTAATAATAATAATTACAACCTATTACCTTTTTAATGAAAATAACTTATTTGAGAGAAATAACTGTATGTATGGATTAGCTTATGTCAGTTTTCATTTATCTTAGATTTTAATGATGATCTTTTTTTAACAGTTTTTTCAACAACTTTTAAACAATGTCTGCATTGTCAAGCTGTATGTAATATCTTTCAAGAAGTTGATTGTTTTTATGACATCTGCCCAGAAATTCAGAAAGGTATAAAATATTTATTATATATACTGTCTGTTTTAAAATATCTGGTTATATCAATGAATATGTGACGAGAAATGGATGCCAGTTGAATATTGAAAATGTTTTCACACTTAAAACTCTCCTTCAGAAAAAAAAAATGCTAAAAAAGAGTTAACATCCTCTACAAAAGTTTTGCTTTTCAATTTTGTTTGATGCAGTGTTTGTCTTTTGGATACGAAAATGTCAATAAAGCAAATTCAATGTAGTAAATTCTCTCAATTGAACAATATTCATTGTTTTTTTGGGATTTGTTTTAGCAACAAGTTTGACAATTTGAAACAATCTGATATAATATTTTTTAGGAGTTATAAACTTGGGAATTATTGCATTAATAATAAAGAAAATACTATTGAAAGTCTTCTTTTATTCAAGTCTGTTCTCATTCTTATTAGATTACACAGTTTTATCAAATGGTACCTAAATTATTTAAATTTTGCAATTTAAATCCTTCAACTCCTGTTGTATTATTTTATTTACTGATGTATGTATTCTTTGCTCTTTTTGTTATGAAATTTCTAGTTTGTTTTGATATATTGTTTTAAATGTTCATTAAGTAATCAGGGATATTCCACACTCAGGCACTGAAGTTTTTCCCATATCAGGAAGAAGTATTAGTTGCATTTATATGGAGATTTACCAGTGATGAGCTTAGCACTATAACCTATGCAGCTACTATTTATTCTTTTGTTACAAATTGAAAATTAATTGTACTAATTTTGGTCCTTATAGACACTTAGCAGATTAAAAAATATTAAAGCTGTAGTGCTTCTGCAAATGGAATGAAGAAAGTCTGATAGTTTAAAATCATTTTTTTTTCAGATCATGATTACACCAATAACACATCGGCTAATGTTGAGGTAAGAAAATAGTTTCTTTTAACAAATATACTCAGACATTTGTTTAACTTATCTTATATGAGTTCACTTAAAGATTTAAATACCAAATGTGCACATGTCGTACTATACTGGTTAAATTAAATAATTTGTTTTCATATTTAGCACTGTTCATGGTCAAAGACTGTGTACATTTTCTGTCATACGACATTACAGTTCGTTTTACATATAAAATATGTATCTAGGACTGTAGATATTATCTCCCCTTTATGTGTACCTATTTACAGGTTCTTGTTAATAGATAAAGGAAGATGTGGTATGAGTGCAAATGAAACAACTCTTCATCAAAGTCACAATCTATAAAAGTAAACCATTAATAGGTCATGGTACTGTTTTCAACAGGGAGCCTAGGCTCACACTGAACAGCATGCATATATATATACATTTCAGTATTTTATTTTAAATCATATGCAATGCCTACTGATGAGTCCCAATTGCATATGAACTTACATTAATTTATTTTAGAAAGGGACGAAACTCACAAGGCTAAAAAGACATTTATCACAATAATATAAACCATCACTTTGACACTTATACATAAAAATTGATATTTCAAAAAAAAATTTAACAGAAAGATCTAAATCTACTTTTCTATGATAATGTCACGATAAATATCCTTGTGAGTCTAGGCACAATTTTGAATCTGAAGTTGCAAATCTATATGTGTTTAAAGGTTCTGGTAAAGGTCTAAAGCATATCAGTCCTTTCAACATAATGTAGTTTATAATCAGAAATTATTGCTTGCATTTAATATTGCCATCTTATTTGAATAAAAAATATGCAAGACAGACCAGAGCACTTTAGAAATACTTTCATACAGATATATAAGATATTAGAATAGTTCTCATCAATTGGATGCTTGCTCAATCATATTATTTGCATTCAAAAATTTCACCTACAAAATTTCAGAATTTATATAATATATATCTAAGACTGTGAATATTATCTCCCTTGTATGCCTGACTATATGTGTTAAAGTTTATTGTTAATGTCAAAAGTACAGATGTACATGTATAATATGTATCTAGGACAGTAGATATTATCTCCCTTCTATGTTTACCTATTTACAATTTCTTGTTCAGGTTATCAGTCTTCTCTACATATAAAATATGTATCTATAACTGTAGATGTTATCTCCCTTTTATATTTACCTATTTACAACTTCTTGTTAAGATTATCAGTCTTCTCTACATATAAAATATGTATCTAGGACTGTAGATATTATCTCCCTTCTATGTTTACCTAATTACAATTTCTTGTTCAGGTTATCAGTCTTCTCTACATATGAAATATGTATCTGGGACTGTAAATATTATCTCCCTTTTATGTTTAATTATTTATGGTTTCTTGTTAAGGTGCCAGTTTACGGTTTATTTAAAATTATGAATCCTTGAATTTTATTAATAATCTTGAGTTTTTGGTAGCCTTATTGATTTCTACACTCAATGTGGATGTACGAAAAAGCAAGCAATATGTTTACCTATTTTCAACTTCTTGCTAAGGTTATCAGTCTTCTCTACATATAAAATATGTATCTAGGACTGTAGATATTATCTCCCTTCTATTTTTACCTATTTACAATTTCTTGTTCAGGTTATCAGTCTTCTCTACATATAAAATATGTATCTATGACTGTAGATATTATCTCCCTTTTATATTTACCTATTTACAACTTCTTGTTAAGGTTATCAGTCTTCTCTACATATAAAATATGTATCTAGGACTGTAGATATTATCTCCCTTCTATTTTTACCTATTTACAATTTCTTGTTCAGGTTATCAGTCTTCTCTACATATAAAATATGTATCTAGGACAGTAGATATTATCTCCCTTCTATGTTTACCTATTTACAATTTCTTGTTAAGGTTATCAGTCTTCTCTACATATGAAATATGTATCTAGGACTGTAAATATTATCTCCCTTCTATATTTACCTATTTGCAGATTCTTTTGTCAGGTTATCAGTCTTCTCTACATATAAAATATGTATCTATGACTGTAGATATTATCTCCCTTTTATATTTACCTATTTACAACTTCTTGTTAAGGTTATCAGTCTTCTCTACATATAAAATATGTATCTAGGACTGTAAATATTATCTTCCTTCTGTGTTTACCTATTTACAGTTTCTTGTTATGGTTATCAGTCTTCTCTACATATAAAATATGTATCTAGGACTGTAGATATTATCTCCCTTCTATGTTTACTTATTTACAATTTCTTGTTCAGGTTATCAGCCTTCTCTACATATAAAATATGTATCTATGACTGTAGATATTATCTCCCTTTTATATTTACCTATTTACAACTTCTTGTTTAGGTTATCAGTCTTCTCTACATATAAAATATGTATCTAGGACAGTAGATATTATCTCCCTTCTATGTTTACCTATTTACAACTTCTTGTTAAGGTTATCAGTCTTCTCTACATATAAAATATGTATCTAGGACTGTAGATATTATCTCCCTTTTATGTTTACCTATTTACAATTTCTTGTTCAGGTTATCAGTCTTCTCTACATATGAAATATGTATCTAGGACTGTAAATATTATCTCCCTTCTATATTTACCTATTTGCAGATTCTTTTGTCAGGTTATCAGTCTTCTCTACATATAAAATATGTATCTATGACTGTAGATGTTATCTCCCTTTTATATTTACCTATTTACAACTTCTTGTTAAGGTTATCAGTCTTCTCTACATATAAAATATGTATCTATAACTGTAGATATTATCTCCCTTTTATATTTACCTATTTACAGTTTCTTGTTATGGTTATCAGTCTTCTCTACATATAAAATATGTATCTAGGACTGTAAATATTATCTTCCTTCTATGTTTACCTATTTACAGATTCTTGTTAAGGTCACCAGTCTTCTCTACATACGAAATATGTATCTAGGACTGTAAATATTATCTCTCTTTTATGTTTAATTATTTATGGTTTCTTGTTAAGGTGCCAGTTTACGGTTTGTTTAAAATTATGAATCCTTGAATTTTATTAATAATCTTGAGTTTTTGGTAGCCTTATTGATTTCTACACTCAACGTGGATGTACGAAAAAGCAAGCAATAGTTTAAGAACCATTTTCTTTTTCAGATAAAAGAATCGTTCCCTCTTAGCAGAAATGTACTATGCATCTGTTGCTCATCAGGTATAGGGATTGTAAAGGTGAACAATAGCTATTTTGATTGTTTAACATGTAGTTCTACTTCCTGTGTGCATGTAAGAGAAGTCCATTCGATTTTTGACTCAGAAAGTAATGACCTAGGTGAAGAATTACTGAACTGGAGGAGCAATCACACTGACAAGGAAAAGGAATTGAAAGTAAAAATCAAATGTTTATCCTCTAAGAAAATACCATTTGATTTCACTGAAGACATTTCTTCAACTGGAGATGCAATCTGGCTATTCCAGAACAGTGTAAAATGTGCTGCACCTCTGAGTTTGATCCAATCTGTAAATCAGTTGATGTTATAACAGAGAACCGTATTTACACACTCAAAGGTATTTTTCACAGAGCTTTACATTATCAATAAATTAATTTGTTCTTTCAAAAAAATTTTGTTTGACATACTTTAAAATATATGAATAGATAACAGTTAAAAATTTCCCAACAAAAAAACATATCAAAGAGAGTAAAATATAAGAGATTCAAAGTTGAATATTCATAATTAACTAGGATTTATGATTTAATTTTGTGGATTAATAATTATTTAATATGGACATTTTTGAAAAATGTTTGAATTAACACTATTCTTTACCAGCTTTAAATTTGATATACTCTTTCTTATAGTCAATACTTGGAAATGCAAAGTGTGTAAAACTGAGGAGTCGTTTGATGGACAGGAATATGGGGTCATCAATATGGGGATGTATTGCGTGGCATATGAAGTTACGAGAAGATATTTGTCATACTTCCTTCAAGGAAAGTAAGTTTCATTATATTAAAAATAGTATGCTATTTTTGAAAAAATTAATCAATTCATAATTTGATTAAGAATGCGATCTATTCTGTTTTTGACTTTTATCTGATTTCTTAAAATCTTGGAATATTCTAGTGATTTTTTATCATAGCATTTTTGAGAAAATAGATGTCAATGTTAAATGTCAGGAAAATCTAGAGAGAATTACATCCAGCCAAATTTGTAATTGATGATATCTCAAAAGAAACACACAAACCTTTTATTTTTCTTCATTTTGAGTTACACTGCTTTCATATGTTCAATTTATAAGAGTCTTTAAAGAGGCCTATTATTTTGTAAAAGAAAAGGAACATCCTTAAAACATTAAACAGTATTTAAAAAAGAATAGTTTGAGTATTGCATATTATGATATTTAGTGTTATGCATTCATATTTCAATAATTATGTGAAAATCAAGTGTGGTAATATATATTCATTTTGATACCCTTAAAAATTGTTATTGCTGTTTCTACTTGTCATTTAGAATGCTACATAAAAATACTACTCTAGAAGAGTTTTGATGAGATGTGCATATTATATTTTCTTAGGTCAACAATGTTCACAGAATATGTTGCTCTCTGCCAGATGTACAAATATCATGGACACCTTGATGTGGACAAACAATTCTCATACCAGAGACTTCAATTGGCCTGGTATTCATACATCAACCTATTAGATGTAACCTATGAAGAGGGATTCACTTGTTCAAAGTGTGGACCTGATCCATCAGTTGTTGTAACGGATGCTACAACTCTTTCATTCAGAAAACGAATGTTAAGCTGGCGGGATGTTTTCTTGTTTGCAGAAAAACCATGTTCAGAACCAGTGAAAGGAAGATAAGTATCAATTCCATGAATTTCATTTCATAAGATAAAAATCCTTTTTTTTAATCAAATTGTATTTTATATATAACATAACAAGTAAATAAATAGAGTGAGCAAGCATCACCAATGTGTTGAGGTTTGACTTTTTCTCAGTTTATTGAAAATGGAAATAGGGAATGTGTCAAAGTGACAACAACCCGACCAAAGAACAGACAACGGGCAAATAAAATTGAGAATGGAAATGGGGAATGTGTCAAAGAGACAACAACCCGACCATAGAACAGACAACAGCAGAAGGTCACCAACAGGTCTTCAATGCAGTGAGGAATTCCCACATCCCGAGGCGTCCTTCAGCTGGCCCCTAAACAAATATATATACTAGTACAGTGATAATGAATGCCATACTAAACTCCAAATTGTACTAAAGAAACTAAAATTAAAAATAATACAAGACTAACAAAGGCCAGAGTCTCCTGACTTGGGACAGGCGCAAAAATGCAGCAGGGTTAAACATGTTTTGAGATCTCAACCCTCCCCCTATACCTCTAGACAATGTAGAAAAGTAAACGCATAACATTACGCACATTAAAATTCAGTTCAAGAGAAGTCCGAGTCTGATGTCAGAAGAAGAAACATAAGAAAATAAACAAAATGACAATAATACATTAATAACAACAGACTACTAGCAGTTAACTGACATGCCAGCTCAAGACTTTAATTAAACTGATTGAAAGATTATATCTTCGTCATATGAATATCAGGCACAAGCCCTCCCGTTAGGGGTTTAGTATCATACCATCATAACATATATGAGAAGAACATAACCCGTGTCATGCCAACAACTGGTTTTTAAATAAATGTGTTTAGTTCCGATGCAAAGACCCTATAAGTGAATCAATATTAAAGCCAAAATATGCAATCTTTAATGACCTGACAACAGTTCCCTTCTTAATAGGTCTATTTAAAGGTTTTCGTTAGCCTCTGAGGTAAATATTGAAATTTTTGTGCTTTATAAAGAATATTACCATAAAAGATTGGATGTGAAATACCTGAAAGGCCACCAATGGGCCCCTTCCAGTATTGAGGGAGAGGGGCCTGTATGAGGCTAATGTGAAAAAGGTAAAACAGCCATCTTGTAGAAAAAGAACACTTTTGTGATGCATTATAATTTTTTTTTTTCTTTTTATACTTCCCACAGCAGTCAAGTTTTTTTACACAGACCAGAGTGCAGAAGACTATTGAAGAAATTTGCTTTGCATGGAATGGACAATGATGAATATGCAATCTTCATGAACAGCTTAGAGAGTTATGAGAAATGTTTAACTGGGCTTCTCTTACAAATTAAAAATGAAAATAAAACAACGAAGAAGATAACATGCTGCCAAGAAGTCAGATCTCTGCTAAGATCTTTGAGTAGTGAAACTCCAGCTTGTGGAATGGTTTTAGCAACAGAAGAAAACCGACAACTACTAAAAAAGCTTATTTCGATTTCCTCTGATGCTGAGAAAATAGGAAAATTCAAAATGTTTTTCCTATTTTGTTCAACATTATACGTAAGCAGGGAGAATTATATATGGAAAATCTTGAGCCTATTATGGATGTTTTGTTGACAAGGGCTGGATTACCATTTAAGCCTTCATTGAATATTACCAAACAACTTGATGCTGACACAACTTCAACTGAGCCAAATTCCCTATCATACTTTCCATCCCTTCCAGTATTGAGGGAGAGGGGCCTGTATGAGGCTGATGTGAAGAATGTTAAACAGCCATCTTGCAGAAAAAGAACACATAGCCACCCGACTTTGTTGCCAGGATTGTTTACAATTCTTTGTCCACATGGTGAGTAACAAGTAAATTACAATTATTTTCCGTTAAAGTCTAACATATAGACTTCAATCATATTAAAATTATATATCAATTATTGCTCTTAAATAATCTATTCAACATTCAAATGAAAAAGTTTCAACCTTAGAGGCTCTCAAGAGCATGTGTCACTCACCCTACTTTACTTTCGTTTTGGCAATCATGTAAAATTAAATAAAAATCATAACAGATACCCAAATAATGATTGAGTCGAAATTTTGTTAAATATTGGTCATGTAAATTGATAAAAAATCCAGGTTGCCATCTCAAACAGTAAATCAGCAACAAAGTAGCAACACATCATCAGCACCTCAAAAGGAACATTTATGCCATGTTTGATTTCATTTCATTCAGTGGTTATCTAAATAAGACATTTGTATGTTACTATAATTTCCTTTATAGTCCTATGTTATACTAAGTCCCCCACTGGGGGCCATCTTAGATGATGGATGTCAGCACCTCATAAAGAACATTCATGCCATGTTTGGTTCCATTCCATCTAGTGGATCTCCAGAAGAAATTCAAAACGTTTAAAGTAAATGATGACAATGAACGACAACTAACAACAAATGATGAGAATAGCCCACTTGACCCTTCAGACCAGGTGAGCTAAAAATGGATGCTTAACCTCATTACCCCATAAAACTTTTAGAAATCAGAAAATAAATCTAATTTTTTAATTGCAGGTGTTTGCTATGGATATGAGGTAATGACAGTAGCAGAGTCCCCTAATGTTCCCTTTACTGTACTGAAAACCAGATTTTCCAAAGGTAATAACAGTTTTTCAACAATCATTCTACTTGATAACTTTATAAATATAAAAGATGTGGTAATATCCACAATTTTACAAATTTTACAATCCCATATGATGAATACCATACAAATTAATATTTTATTTCATATTAAATGTTAGTCACAACCTGCTTTTCAAACAATACATTTGTTGTAGGTATTCATATGCAATATGATATGTTATTTAATTTTTGAAATTGTTGATATCATTCCCAATGCTTGGTGGAAGGTAATTTGCAAAATGTGGTACTCATTTGTTTAATCTAACTGTATGTTTAAAGCTAGATTTTTTTTACAGCTCCAGAACTCATCATCTATGACAATGCCTTAGCGAATTGTCATTGTTCTTTGCTCAACATTGGAACTTTTTTCAAATCAAATCTTTTTTTTTTTACAGTTTAAGACCAAGATCATTTTAAACTCTTAATTTATATCAAAATTCTGACAAATAGAGTCTCACATTTTCTATAAGTTATCACAAAATATTATAAAATGTTATTTCAAGGGCATATCCCTTATCATGAATAAATTGTTCATTTGTTTATCTGTTTATTGATTTGCAGCAGTTGAAAGAGCACTGATTGTACATAATATAGCTGCTCTGAGCTTTTGTCCCTTCACTTTATAACATAGTGAAATATTATCTATCTTTGTAAGAACCTTCACTGGATACTGAAAAAGAAATGAAATGATTATTGAGTAATAATTCAATACCAAATGCTCATTAAAATTAATAGAGAGAATATGGAATGAATAAAAAACTAACATTTATTATCATACCTGAGGGCATAAACAATTATTTGGTCTCTATGTATATCTTTATTCTATCAAACCTTTGCAATTACAATGGTATACAGACACTACATGACATCAATAATACAGACATAAATACATGATTACACAGAGCAAAAAATCTAATGAAAGTACACAGCTTTCTCAGTTTAGATTTTTTATTTAAATTCATAATTTTCTTAAACATAATAATATTTGGACGATTTACATATTTTTTATCAATACATTTGTTTCTTTTTACTGACATCTCTGTGCACACCATAATATAATGATACTCATCTCCAAGATCTTTACAGTTACATAATTTACAATTTCGTCTATCTCTCTAAATATTTGTCCATCTCCCTATGTCAATGGGTAATTTATGGTTGATGGTTCTAAATTTGCATAAAGTATAAATATCACAATATTCTAAAATATCAAAATAGTTCTCAAAGCCAAAAGTATCCTTAAAAATTCGATAATTTAATGTCTTCGAACATGCTTGCACATTTGAAAATCATGTTTGTTGAAACTGATCTTGGAGTGATGTTCTGATTGTATTCATTAACCAAATGTCACTAATACATGTTTGAGATAACCACACAAAAGATGATCCTGTATTATTAAAAATAGATTCAACATGGTTAAAACAACTAAACGTGACATCATTTTCATTTGACCACTTAAACAGTAGTCTCTGAATCTAAATTATAGCAAATTTATTCAAGCCTTTCAAATTAATGCTTTTTAAATTAAAGACATTCACAAGCATGCCAATGGTTTAAGCAAAAATATAATGAGCCAAGAGATAAAAAAATAAACTGTTTTGCATATAGTGTATATTTGAAACAAAGTATTTCCTATAAATATACAATATATCAAATAAAAATAAAAAAAGACAACAACAAACATAAACCTTTGTGCAAAACATACACTGAATATAGATGTCAAAGATAAGTTTTTTGTGACTAACCTTTTCAAACAATCTCTTTGCATTCTCAAGGACATGCACACCACAGTCAACACCTTCTTGTTTTGGAACCTGTTAAATATTTTTTTCCTGGACCACTTTGTCCCTGCAAAAAGCCTCCATGTGAGGTGGTCCTGAAAAATATACTCTCATTGCTATACTCAAAATTTAAGATATCAAAATAATGAGATTCGTAATTGACTCCATTAATAATTACAAAAGCAGTAGAACTTACAATGCAATTTGACATATGACATAATTTTTCAATTCTTAGATAGTCAATTTGTAAACAAATCATTATTCAAACAATTTTAAGTGTGTTTGTTTTTATGTACTAGCCTTTTATGTTAAATAATAAGAAATTATATAATATTTTTAATAAGTACACAAGTTAAAAACTAACCTTCGAATCTTATTTGGTTGCCCTTTAAGAACATACATATAAAACATGGCTGTTCTTCTTCTGAGAACAGACTCATCCAAGTCCTAGCCTATAAATAAATTATATGAAAATTGAACTCATACAGTAAAAAATTTTAAGAAAATAATAGGCTTATGGTTATTCATTTGTTTAATATGTTTGAGTTTTTGATTTTGCCAGTAACTGATAAGCCAGCTCCAGACTTCAATTAAACTAATTGAAAGATTGTATTTGCATCAGCTTTTCAGCTAATATATGTAGCAGGCAAAATTTTTCTTGTGAGATTAAATATAGAAAATATAGCTTACCCTCTTCACTGTAACGTCCCATTGACGTTTTCTTCTCTCTATAAGAGCATCTTTTCTGACTTTCTGCAACAAAACTCAATTTATTATTATATGATTAAAATATTGTAGGCAGATGTTGTTTTATGTTTAAACACCATAAAACAATACAACTATAAGTACTTGAGCAAAAGCAATCAAGATAATTTCTGAATGGTTTTTCATTGACCAGGTGAGGTGTAAAATGCTCATATACAAAAAAATAAATTGACAGATGACTTGTGTACAAGAACAAAGTTCCATGTTATTTATAATGGGACTGCAACGAGTGAACTAAGATTAAAATTGGTGATTTAGAACTGCCTTTTCTACTTTAAAACAATACCTTCTTTGGGGGCTCTTCAACTGCCTCATCATTAGACTCCTCTTTCTCCTCTAGATTTTGGTCCATTTAAAGTATACTTTTCAACTGAATATATTAAAAATAAAATAGAACTATTAATTCCGGCAAAATGTATCTACCCATTCAATAAAATACATCAAATGGAAAATAAACCTAGTTCTGATAATTTGAAAGGTATATCATCATTAACATATTCTTATTCATGTATCATTCTGAGACAGAGTGCAGATTAATAAGGGACATGACACCCCCCCCCCCCCCCCCCCCCTTATGTGAGAAACATTTTGTTGATTATTTAGGGTATCAGGTCCGTTCGCGCCCAATTTACTTTCGCACCCTACACGTTCACACCTCACATGTTCGCCCCTGAAGTCTGTTCGCACCCTACATGTTCGCGCCCAATTTGTATTAGAATTTCAGTTGAATTATAAGATTTTTTTTTTTAAAGAATATACCAAATAATTATATTTTCTTGAATGGAATTATCATATATTTTTTTTTTATTATCAATTTGATGATGAATTATTAAAAGTTAATTATGTATGATTACTGCTAATTGCAAGGGCGCATCCAGCCAGCCATTTTTAAAAGGGGGGGGGGGGGGCGGTTGTTAGTTCCCAACCCAGGACAAAGGGGGGTTCAACTATACTCCCCATTCAAATGCATTGATCGTCAAAAAAAAGGGTGTTTCAACCCCGGAACCCTCCCTCTAGATCCGCCAATGAATTAGTATTCATACACAGTCTAAATTGGTGCTATCAATGAATTGAATAACTATATAAGTCCTTGGTGTTATTTTTTAGTGTTTAAAAGATTGTTGTTTTAAGGGGGCTTGCGAGTCTAAACCAATTTTCTTTTTAATATAGAATTTGGCTATATTTTTCTATAAATGAACTTTATCTTATACTTAATAGAAAAATAAAATAAAAAAATGGGGTCAACGTTCATTAAAGCTCACAATCTGCCTTCGAAAGAAGCATACATTTTTGTAAAAGTACTTTTTTCTGTTAAACTAATAGGAAAAAAAAGGTAATAACGAAATAAAAAAAGAACTAAATTACAAAAATCGCTAAAATTTTACAATAGTTTACTTTAAGGACAGCTTATTTGAAAACAATAATAAAAAATATAATAGGTCACCGATGAGTTAAAAAAGATATTTCAATTTGGATGCCAAAAAATGGCATTTTTGCACAAAAGGGAGATAACTTGGAGCTTTTTTAATGATAACTATATTTTAAAAGTCATCTGGGGCCAAAACGAATTGATTTCTTTGAATGATTTTTGTACCATATGATAAAGTAACAACTAATAAAGTATTAAATAAAATTTGTAATGAAAAAAAAAATGTTTTTTAATTTTTTTCTGCAATTTTTATACCCTCCAGACACCTGAAGTCTTTTAACTTGCTTTGATGTACATAACTGCATACATTTAGCTTGGTATGACTAAAACTTTTGAATATTTTAAATAAAAAACAAGAAATATAATTGTTTTTAACAGTGTATTTGAACAAGGATGACAATATGATGACTAAAAAAAAGATTTATAGAAATACAATACACTTTCCAAAACTCGTTTACAAATTATTAAACACAAAACCAATAAAATTTTGACTCGATCATTTTTATTACAAAAAAAAAAAAAAGATATGAAGATACAATGTACGATTTGTATTTCATAGTATATGATAATTTAAATAAAATTTGGGCGTGAACGTGTAGGGTGCAAACTAGTCCAAATAATTATGACGTCTTGCAAGGCTATTTTAATTTTTTTCTGTGACGCCTTCCTACGATTTGGACTAGGTGCAAACAGACTTTGGGTTCGAACGTGTAGGATGCCAGGGGCGGATCCAGCCATTTTAAAAAAGGGGGGGTCCTAACAAAGGACAAAGGGGGGGGGGGGGGGGGGGGGTTCCAACTACATGTCCCCATTCAAATGCATTGATCGTCCAAAAAAAGGGGGGGTTCCAACCCCGGAACCCCCCTCCTCGATCCGCCACTGGATGCAAACATGAAAGGGGGCGAACGTGAATGGGCGCGAACGGACCCGGATTAATTATTTAGGGAACCACTGGCGTACCATTAACAGGAGCGTGCTAATTCATATTCATCATCAATCCACAGAACCTACCTGTTCTTAAATACTAATTAAAAGATATGTATGACAATTTTTTAGTGTAGTAACTTCGTAAAATGTATAGTCGTTCTCTTTATTAACCTCAGTTCTTTTGTATCTTCTTTTTTGAAGAGTACAATATTGCAACAGCAAATTTCATTGGTTTAAATCAATGTGACGTTGCAGTCCTTCAGTTCAGTCCAACCACTTTTTTCGTGCATACTAATAAGAGGTCTTCTCAAAATTAAGTTTGACGATATTGGAACGCGGGCGTGTCTGAGAGCACTCTTTCCCGATGTCAACAAGCGATGCAAAACTTTCTACAAAAAAGGAAATGCGGTCAGAAATAAAGAGT